GTAGCAACCAAGTCCGGATAGGTTCCTTTCGAATCAGGGATCCACATCAGTTTCGTGGCAGGATAGGGATGATCGAATGTACTCCTAAGAACCAGCTCACCGGCGTTTTCATCTAGTTGTACAATGGAAACCTGGAACGTAACTATACTGAATGCTTCTGCGGAAGCAGCCACGCACTATCCTCTAAACGCAAAATCTTCACTAGTTTTGTGGTTTGGTAATACTAACAAAGTCCTTCATTCGGAAGCTGGAAGAATATACCTTATTACTGTATTCCTCAATGAAGCTACTGACAGCTAATCGAAACCGCCGCTGAGGATCTGTAGCACAACTCCATGCAGTTGCGTACAGGTTGTACGGCGCGTCATAGCCATAGATCTCCTAAAATCATAGTCTTCACAACTATTATGATCAGAACCAGAATGAAAACTTCTCTATTCAGGGAAAAACTCTCAACTAATCACGCTGTAGGCTAACCCTACTCTGTTTAATTGAAACTATCATACTACGCGTACACAAGATAGGTTAATAAATAGAAACAGAATTGTTGGCCAGAAGGACGCAAAGGGATGCTGGTTTTGGAAAGAGGGTTTTGCAAGTTGAGTATAGGGAAGTGAGTAAAGAATACAGAAGTTGCGGCGAATTTGACCGAAAGCCAAATCGCGCGGTGTTTCAAGTATATGAGCAACGGCTCTTATATGTGTTCAATCGTTCTTTCGCCGAGTTCTCAGATATAATCTCCACAGCCAGGCACTCATTTTTCTATACCACACAGGTCGTCTGCTACTCCTGGAATTGTACAGTTTGCTTTTCACACCGACATCCATGAGGACGGCGCGATTGGTGTTCACTGGGAGCTCAACGATACTATCGTCGACAAAACAAGGCCATAAGCAAGGGACTGGTAAACCGCGCCGCAACCACGTGAAATGTTCATAAGTACATTCCACCAAAGTTGTACGGTTGATACGAAATTTCAGAAGGAGATACATACCCATTTGCAAGTGCGCTAGCCCCACATGCCACTGTGTAAGCAGAATATGAATTCAAAAACCACTACTCTGAATGGAAGTCCCACGGAGCCGCCGCACACCTACTGCTGAAGCAGGGCGCTTTTTTTCATACTTGTTGGAAACATACCTTGCGTTTATCCTCTTCCCTAGCAGTCGAACCCATAGCAGCATCTTGATTCGAAGGCCCAGCTGCGTCCATAGCCTGTAATGCTAGCGTCAGTAGACACGATAACGGAATATTAAATAAACAATTCCAAATATACGTCGTAAACGTCGGTCTGCATTAGTTGAGGAGTTGGCTGCTGCGGTGTTAAATAAGGCTGTTGTGTTTGTGGTTGCATTCCATAACCACCAACCATCATGTTCATATTTGAAGAAGCTGAGAAAATAAAGAGTGAAAGATTGATCTAGACCTGAAACAGCAGGGAAAGGCTTACTTTGAGGTAACATATGATCATTACTGTGGTGCATTGCATAGCCATGACCCTGGTGAGAATGATCCATACCTAGCGGATTCGAAGTCTGAAAAATAAGAGCACAGTAAAATGTGCAAGTCAAAATTATGAAGTGTCTCATATGAAGAAAGCTTTTGTGCAATATAGTGTGTCAAACTCAACTAGGCTTCTACACAAATATCCACTGCGTAATATACATTACGAACGCGAGTATAAATTCTGAATTACAAAAATGACTGCGTTTGAACCGATCATAGTGCATTTTCTGAGAAATTCAATGAACACAGGAAAACGATGATTTTTGGCGCCCAGTGGCAACTTTTCATGAAGAAAATTAGTTTGAAGCCTCCCATGAAATTGTCAAACTTCCAAAAAGTCATGATAAATCTCAATAATAGCTTTTAGTATGGAATTATAGTTATGACAAACACAGTAATTTAACTAACCGCTTAAATTCATTGAGTTAGGGAATAAAGAAGCCCATGGTTTTAGAGCGTGCAGCTTGATGAAGGTCAGATGATACTTGTTGAACACATGCTACTGCCCCCGCCATTGCATTTTCAAGGGACACAAGGGGATGCGACAAAAAACCTTGCACTGATGTCTGGAGCTAGACAGCTGGTAGAACAACATGTCATCTTTCAAAGATCAATAATTGGTTGAAAATAAAAAGTCACACTGTATGGCGGTCGTGGCCTTCTCCCTGTTTTGGTAGCTTAGCGACAACCCCTTTGTATCTCTTGAGTCCGACCACAGAGCTTCTCTTTGGCTGTGAATGCATACCTGCTGATAAGTTATCCCCATAGTAAAAGAGGGTGTTAACAGAAACAGAACATCACCGGGTTGACAGCGCAACACAGCACAACATATAGACTACTAATTCAGAATTTTTCAGCGTTATTTCTTCCTGCGACTTCCAATACCGAATCCGCGAAGCATTTTGCGGACCGACATATTTACCAACCCATCAAGCTATTGGTTCGTAAGTTAGTAGACAAGCGATATAAACCAGCAACTGCGAAAAATGATCGTAATGCTCAGACCAAAGGCAGGCTTTTCTTGACCCACTTGTTGGGTAACTTCTTGGCTCTCACAAGAAACCGCTTCTTTGGCCGTTTATGGTAAAACCTCCTCATAAGTAGCCCGGTTCGACAAGGTAGCCCAAGGCATGCTCCAAAGTGCTCCTAAGCCGAAAGTTAACGATAGTGGAGCAAGGAGCTCTCAACGCATTGCGAACAGTTCACAAAGCGATGATTCAGTGAACGAACAAGTAGAGAAAACTGCTGTCACTGCAGTGCGTCTTCGAAGGTCAACAGGTCAATCCGGCCACTTTTTTACCCATCTGGAATACCCTGAACTCAAAATTGCTGCCAAAATTTGTAAAATTTCCTCTGAATGACTCATGAGTGATCTAAGAGTTTCTCGTGAAGTCAGAAACGAGGTAATTTAGTTGATTTCTGCCGACACCTTGCATCATCTTCGAGGGATCTGTAAACTTCCGTGGTTTTTAGTATTCAAAGCTCATTTGCAAGCCACGAACCTTCTTTTCTCGTATACGGGGTTTTGGGGCAGCTATATGTGGAAGAATTTTTTTTGTGGGCCATGGGAGGACCTTTGCCTAAATCTAGCAGCAGAACAACACTGGATGGTGTGACCCATCTCATCATAAAGAGGTCAGAATGCACAAAATGTCCACTAGACCTTAAACGC